GGTTGAGCTATAGGCGCCGAGCCCAGTGTGGTGTTTTCACAAACAATTCGAAACACTTCCATCAAGATGATGAAATATTTCTAACCATTTGTTCTCTATTGTGATTTTTGCTGATGCCCAAGATTTAACCTTTTCCTTATCAATATATTTTTTTAACAATGATACCTTGTAAGTCGTGTCACTTTCAAGGCCGGCACTAGACTTTTTGCCGCCACTATGAAATATAAATAATATGAATGGTATCTGCTAAATTCATGAAATAAATAAATAAATTACTTACCTAAATTATCTGAATAGCTGATTTGTTGACATCACTTGTTTAAGTAGCACTAGCACCCAGTGGTAAGCAGGCCACTCCCTATGTTAGGAAAGGGGCTTTTTTGAGGGAGGGGCTTTCTGAGGCAATTATCTAACATGTAGTGCATTCATTCCAAAAATCAGGACTTTTGGGGGGAGGGGCTTTCTGAGGCAATTATCTAACATGTAGTGCATTCTTTTCCAAAAATCAGGACTTTTTTGTCCCGCTGCGGGTCATGGGACAAATTGTTAAAAATCAGGACTGTCCCGCCAAAAGCGGTAACCTTAGTAGAGAGCCTGCGGTAGATATGCTCAGAAGTATGATTTTAGCCAGGCACAGTGACTCGTGCTTATAATCCCAGCTCTCTGGGAGGCTGAGGCCAGATGATTACTTGAGCTCAGGAGTTTGAGACCAGCCTGAGCAAGAGCAGGACCCCATTTCTGCTAAAAATAGAAAAATTAGCCAGGTGTCCTGGTGGGCACCAGTAGTCCCCGCTATTTAGGAGGCTGAGGCAGAAGGATGGCTGAGCCCAGGAGTTTGAGATTTCTGTGAACTAGGCTAATGCTATGGCACTCTAGCCTGGGCAACAGAGTGAGATTCTGCCTCACATACACACACAAAAGTGATTTTATCCAAGCCACAACGCTTGGATATTTTTAGAGATGAGTTCTCGCTCTGACTCAGGCTGGTCTTAAACCTGTGAGCTCAGGCAGTCTACCCTTCTTGGCCTCCCAAGTGTTGGGATTACAGGCATGAGCCACTGTGGCCGGCCACCATGGTTGATAATTAAAGGATTTGGGTAGGTTAGCTGTGTGGTATTGAATGAGGCCTTGCAGAGGGAATAGCATGCATAGAGTGCCTAGGAGGCTTCATCTGTTTGCAGAAACAAAACATCTTCAGGGTCACTGGCGTGTCCATTTGCAGTCTGGAAAGGGAAGTAAGAGTTGAAAGTAGAACATAAAAAGCAGAAGCAAGGTCATGGTTACTCAGTGCTTGAGGAGGTTAGACTTTCTCAAGGGGCAGTGGGGAGCCATGGAGGTTTTAAACCTCCATGAGTAAAGCTGTCTAATTGGGTCTCTATTAGAAAGTCTCATAAGGAAGGTGTCTTCCCTTTGCAAAAGGCAGTGCACTTAAATGCAGTAATTTTGGCCAGATGAGGTACCTCACACCTGTAACCCTAATACTCTGGGAGGCTGAGGCAGGAGGATTGCTTGAGTTCAGGGGTTCCAGACCAGCTTGAGCAAAAGTGAGACTCTGTACTAAAAAATAAAAACTAAAAATTAAAACAGAAATATTAGCCTCGTGGTAGGTGCCTATATTCCCAGCTACTCAGGAAGCTGAGGCAGGAGAACCACTTGAGCCCAGGAGTTTGACGTTGCTGTGAGGTAGCCTGATGCTACAGCACTCTAGCCAACAGAGTGAGATTATCTCAAAAAAAAAAAAAAAAAA